GAAAGGTGAGCACTTTCCAACTGATTACTGATATTATTAAACAATTTATTTGGGAAAAATTTCCCCAGTATTTCTTCTAAATATGCAGCTAGCCAGGAGATAGTTTTTTATTTTTATTTTCAATACATCTTTAGTACTTGTCTGAGAGATTGGAGTTCAGGCAGAGAAATGTAAAACATTAGGAGTGTTGCCCTTTGAGAATCTGTCAGAAATGGAGAAAAAGCATCCTAGATATTATAATCAGTGAGAAAAACAGGGTTCCAGCCATCTGCAGCCCATCAGCAGTATGCTGGTTTCACAGAGTGAGGGGGCTGTAGTCCTGGCTTTCTGAGATGCATGATAGCCCTGCCCTGCTTCTCTGGGCAGTCCTGAGTTTGGGCCTGGCCCGTGGAAGCTCTTCTGAAGGACAGGAGCATTCCAGGGCTCTGGTGTGCACCAGCCAAGATAGAATGAAGAGAACAACACCCACTTACTGAGCCTCCTCCTGAGTTTGGCAAAGCAGCTCTGGGACAGCCAAGGTCCAGCAAGTGCGAGGGGGCATGACATGGGTGAGTCCACATAGCTGCCCAGGGCTGAGTTGAGACTGGAACCTGGCCATTTGGTTCCAAAGCTAGAGTCCTGCCCTGGACTTTGTCACTTCCTGATGTCTGTCATCCCATGACCACATTCTTCATTCAGGTACCCATCCTCTTCAGACATCTTTTTAATAAGATTTCCAGCTTTTTTGGCCTCACTGGAAATGCTGAGTTCTGAGGCCATGGTTTTGCTGTGAGCCTTGTAAATTTCTTTCTTTCTTTCTTAAGAATTAGTTTATTTAACTTTATTTTTTTAAATTTTAATTTGACTGGGGAGGTGGGGAGAGCGAGAAAGCAAGCCACCAGGTCTGAGACTTGAACCGCAGTTGACCATGTGGGAGTTCAGTGCCCTTAACCACCACACCACCTGCTGGCCCTGCACATTTCTTATTACCTGGGACATATGGCCCTCAGGTTTCCAATGGGAGAGTAGTTCTAGATAGTTCTAAGGGTGTGTCCTCCTCTACTCTTCCACAGGAGAGTCTGGCTAGGCTGCATGTTTTGTGTTACTGCAGCAGTGGTGGTAGCTGCTGCTCCTTGTCTTCTTATTCTTACTCCCTGAAACTGGCCTGTATATTCTGTAACTACATGTGTATGTATTTTTAAAAGAAAACAGCATATATTGCAGTTTTCCCAAGTAGATAGTGCATGTGCATGGCATAGTCAAGAGATATATACTACAGAGCAGATCTCTTCCTCACTAGTTGATCCTAAGAACCAAACACCATTGCTGGTTTCTTTTGTCTTTTTAGAAGGAATCAGAGCCTCTGTAAGCATACATATAAATACTCCTTTAAACAGTGCTAGCTAGCATTGCTTTGCTTATATGTGTTTTGATGATTACCTTGTCCCATATAGTACATGCAGGACTGTATTTTTTTTTACCTTTAAACCACTGCAGAGTGGTTGTACCATGTGCTCTTTGGTTCCAGTTTTTTTGCTCTTTGTGACTTGTTAATGCTTTTCAGATGCGAGGATGCCTCATGATCCTTTTTACACGTGACTCATGACTTAAACAGTCTGAGGGTTCTGTGTTCCAGGTCCTCCTCTCTCCCCCCAAACACATTAAATTCCCTTGTTAATGTGTCATTGTATTTGACATTTTGAGTATGGCAGGCTTGGTAGATAATAAAACAGTATTGGGCTTATGTTTAATAGCCATCTCCTCTCTTTGTGTTGTCCCAACAGCCTGAGAACTCCTTATTGTCCTTCGAATGGATTTGGTGGTTAGTTTTTTTCCCCCAAGGAACTTGGTCAAAGATTGTGAGCCTTAAATCTGACCAGCCCAATCTGGGGCAATAGAAGCTCTGTCTCTCTGCTTTGCTGTGCCAATCTCTTCCCATGGTGGCGGGTGGTGGTGCAGTGTTAAATTTGGAGACCCCCGTTGGTTTCTCTTGCCGACCTGCATATGTCTGCCAGCCTGGGAAAGAGGGTGAGGTGGATCCCTGTAGAGCCCCTGACTGCCAGCAGCAAGTTGCCTCAGGCATGCTGGCTCTGCAGCCCCATGATCAAGGTAGATCTGCTCTCCATAGGTTTCCTGTTCCAGATCAGCCTTCCTGGCCAAACCACCAGGTGAGGGACCTTAGAGGGAGCGGGGCAGATGATGAGCTGATGGGACAGAGGGTCCTGTATACCCTGTGTTGTTCTGAGATCTTATGCAACAGTCTCCCCACTTTCCCCATTAGGTGTGAAGATGAGCCAGAGATGGGAACCCACAATTGTCTTTGTATCCCAGTACCTACTGTTTCTCCAGTTTGAAGAAATCAGTGGAGACCTACTGAATAGGTGACCACGACCTGGGCTTCCATTCAGTGGAAGAAGTAGGAACCCTGTTAAAGGCAGTCCACACGCCCTCTGTTTTTCTCCAAGTTTTCTGTGTCTGTGCGTGATTGGAACGAAACATCAACTCTTTTTCCTTTTTGTCATATTTCAATATTGGCTTTTTTCCCCCTTCTTGAAGTCTCCTTTTATAACTTCTTCTGCTGCTGCTTAAATATAGATGTCTAAGTCCTCCTCCTTACCAGATTGTTTATATTTTTTAGAAGCCTTCTGCTTATCTGTGACTGCTCTCTCTTCTCCCTCTCCATCCCCACTTTACCACATTGGTTTCAGTTGCTCTTTTTTCTCTGCCTTCACTTAACTGGGATGGGTTTCAAATGTGGTCTATCAAAATGTTCAGTGTTTCCCTCTTTTCTGCAATAGCTTTGACATCTGTTCTTGAATTCTAGCCCACGTTATTCTTTGCACTTGTTTGCCCAAGATTTGCTGTAATGTTAGAAATACTGAAGGGAAGAGAGAATGCGGTTTCGCGTGGTGGTCTGTCTCCCTACCCCACCCAGGACCCCCCCCCACCCCGAAACCATCTATGATTTTGGAGTTGACGGTGCACTGAATGTTTGCTCCAGCACCCTGTCATCTTGTCTGACGGTGGCCCACCTCTGGTGGTATGATGAAGTGTTTACCAGGAGGGCGTATAGGCTCGTTGGGTTATTTCTACCTACAAGGAATGCAGGGGGAACTTCATGAGGTGGGTGGAAAAAGACTGTAACAGGGGACCAGTAGGTGGCGTGGTCGTTAAGGCGCTGGACACTCCCACATGGCCAACCACGGTTCAAGTCCTGGACCTGGCGGCTTGCTTTCTCACTTCCCCTCACTCTCTGCCTCTCTCTGGTCAAATTAAAATAAATGGATGGATAAATAAAATTAAATAAATAATTCTTAAAAAAAAATGTAACAGCTTCCTGGATGTGTATGGATGGGTCTTCATCTATGATTTCCCTTCCCCTGCAGCCATGATTCACTAGCTGTTTGCTCTGTCCGGCGGCAGGGTGGTGGTCCCTATCCCCAAGTACCTGCTAGGACCACCACCTCGAATCCTAAGCAGAATGTGAGCGTCTGTCTTCAGTAGCTGAGGCGACTCAGCAAGAAAGCGGGCCTTTCGGTGGCTACAGCAGCGTGTCCTTGTGTGCCTGCTGTCAGCCTGGAGCACCATTCTGGGCCCATCTGCTACAGGCTTGTTTGAAACAGATCCTTTTGGCAACTCCTCCCAGAATTTCCAAAGCCAGGGCACAGGTTCTCTACTGCTCTGAGTATCTGTTTGTCATGTGGAAGGGACCTCAAAGCTCTCAGCCCTTGGCAGGTGCTCATAGGAAACCCACCCCTGGTGAGCCTCAGAGTCCCAGTGCAGGTCAAATGGTTTAAGAGGAACTGCTGCTTCCAGGTGCCTCATTTCTGAAAAGTTACAAGATATTGGAAATAATTATTCTTGGAATTTGCCTTTTAAAGGTCCCTCTTGAAAAACTAATAGGTTAATGGTCCTGAACCTGATGATTGGCTTAGAACAGGCTCACAGTAAATGTTTCTTTAATGAAAGCAAATCAGGTATTACTACTGAAGAGCCCAGGCCCACACTGTTGAAGGACAGCCAAACAAAATGCCTGAGTGAGAATCAGGGACTTACCCAGAAAGAGAAAGGATGGGAGAAGGGCTAAGAAGACTTTCTTTTTTTTTTTTTTTTTTGGGGGGGGAAGGGCTAAAAAGAGTTTTTTTTTTTTTTTTTTTTTGGAGAGGTTTTTACTATAGGGCGTGTGCGCTCGCCAGACAGAGAGAGACAGAGAGACAGAAAGCGAGAAATCAACCCCCCCAGGGGGGATGGCCATGCCGCAATCCCTTCTCCTCCCTTCTCTTGGGATCTTGGCATGCACGCACATGCGCCCGGCATGGGTTTTAAGCCACCAGTTCTGGTACGCGAACTGCGGTGGACTACGTGGGAGTCCAGTGACATAGCCATTACGCTAACTGCTGGTCCCAGAAGACATATTTGTTGAGAACAACACAGTGGGGCCAACAGATGGCATGGTGGTTAAGGCACTGGGCTTAACCACCCCATAGTCAACTGTGGTTCAAGTCTTGGACCCAGTGGCTTGAAAAATCATGCCAGGCACTGGTGTATCCATGCACAAAATCCCAAGAGGAGAATGGAGGAGAGGGGATTGAGGCATGGCTATTCTCCCTAAGGGATGATTTCTCACTTTTCTTCACTGTCTCTTTCTGGGTAAGGGCCTGCACTCTGTGGTGAAAATCTTAAAAAATACCAACTCAGAGTAAGTCCAGGGAAGGTGTCTTTTGGTCATTGGGCTGCCTCTGTACTAGTGGATGAAATGTTTCCATGTGTCCTACTGTAGGAACGGAGTCATTGTGGAGCAAGCTGAGCAAGCTTGGTTTTCTCAAATGGGTGCATTTGGGGACGACTTGTGATGGACAGAGGGCATTTATTTTCCTTCCCGCCACCCCATGCCCGTCCTCTGCAGATGATATTCCCTCGAGCCACCAGGGTCTCTTGCCAGTGTTCTGGTCAAATGCAAATGCAATCTCCTGTACAAAGTGCAATTACAATGTGTTTTTTCTGTTTACTTCTCTCAACAGAGAGAACTCGATGCCACCGCAACAGTATTGGCAAACCGGCAAGATGAAAGCGAGCAGTCCAGAAAGCGGCTCATCGAGCAGAGTCGCGAGTTCAAGAAGAACACTCCAGAGGTGAGGCAGAGTTGCCTTTGAGCTCTCTCTGAAGGGGTTTTATTTATTATTCCAATGCACACTCAGATGACGTTGCAAACATTTAAATTTTTATCAAATGAACCCAACAACCCAGTTCTTTCTTCCGTTGTCCTCAGCCCCACCCACAGATTGTGCCTCCATGTGGGCTGTGGGGATGTGGAATGGATAGATTGTCTGGAAATATTAAAGCATGAGCCAATTCCAGGTGCAGCTTTTGAACAAACTGGGTGTGTGAGCACGTGTGGCCAGGTGGTGTATGGACACCCCAGACCCTTGAGCCTATCGCAGCCTCTGGCCCACGTCGATCATCACATCCCCAACGTCCATAAAGGGAACAGCACGTACAAGGACATCGTGGGATGGAGGGGCCTCAGGGCCTACCTCTGGCAGGGCAGCAGCGTGTCTGAAGGCTGTGCGCATCTGAGGGTAGCAACATGCTGGTGCTTCTTGTAAAACAGACATTTAGATTGTGAGGCCCTTTAAATGCCTCTGTATTTCTTGAGATATGCTGGAAAGGGCACTGGAAATGTGCTCTTTATTTCCTCCTGTATTTTTCTTGTAAGTATGTATTAGGAGTTGCTAGGGCTACGTTTTCCTGATCTGTTTCTTGGTCCCTTGTTCCCTTTAGTCCTTACCAGAGGCCTGTAAGAAATGAAAAGAAACAAGTGCTGCAGACAGATGAGCAGAGATGGTGATTGCTTTCCGGGGGTGCTTTGGCCATTTTAGCTCACAATGCTTCTCCGGTGCAGGGCTCTGCCACTGCGCCCTCCACTCAGATTTGAGTGAATTGCAGCCAGCTGCAACTTTGGTCCCAGCTCCCAGGCCATGGAGCTTTCTCTGGCTCTCAGTTCTCCATGTCAGATAAAGCAGCAGGCCTGGAGGAAAAGCCTTGTTCTGGGAAGGATGTTCTTACAATGTACTGATCCCCCCAAATTACATGTAAATTGCATTTTTAAAATGGATTCGCTTTAAATGTTTCAAAGGAGCTTGGCATTTAACGGACTGTTTTTATGAATCATTTTGGGAAACAAGGAATTAACCTTCTATCTTGAGAACGAATGTTCTGGGAGGAAGTATGGTGACACAGTGGAAAGAAGGGATTCTAGCAGCAGATCCACTAGAGAGGCTTTAGAGCTCAGACTCCTGTTCCCTCTTTGCCTCCCCTGCCCTTCAGGGTGGACCTGCCACGTTCAGTCAGGCCAACAGTGCAGATTCCAGCATTGTGTTTAAGAGTTGCTGTCCTCTCTATAGCTATTGGGGGTAGTGGTTGGTGCGATTCTCCATGTTTAGCCTCGTCACAAGTAAAGACAGAAGAAAAGAAAGGCACCAAGGAAAGAACTTTCTCTCTAATTGCCTTTGTGTCTCAGGCTGTCTCAGAGTAGGGGCCTGGGGCCTACTTGTAGGGTTTTCCGAGCTCTTGTCCTGACTCTGTTCCCCAGGCTTACCTCCTTTGCCATCCACCTTGTGAGCTACTCTTAGAGCCATTCCAGTAGCTCTCATCAGCTGTCCTGTAGTCTTACTACCCTTCTCTTGTGACCATAGAAAACCCAAAAGAAAGGTAAGTCCTTCCTGAGGCAACAGACAACTAATAAGCAAATAAATAGAACCTATCATATAATCACTATCATGAAGAAGATTGGGCAGAGATCTGATTTTCTGGTGTTCCCTGGGAGCCCCAGGCTCCTTCTGAGCTGCTAAAGGTGGTACATCTGAGGAGTGTGGTTTCTTTGCCCCCAGCCACATAGTCGCTAGCACTCAGTTAATGCATGTCACCTAAATAGAACAAACCCTGTCCCTTCTCTAACATCTAAGCAGGTGTTGTTCTGTAGGAGCTGGAGACCAACTTACATAGCCTATTTTGAAGGTCATGACACTTATTTGAAGAAACCAAATCTTTGTGTTTTTAACTCCATCTAATCAAAATAAATAGAAGAGGCTTTAGGAGGAAGCAACCTGGTTGGTAAATGCCATTCAGGGCTTTTCTTTTTAAAAAAATTTATGAGAGGTCATGGGTGTTCACTAGAGAGAGAAAGAGTGAGCACAATAGAAAAAGCACTCTACTTGGAGGTTGTCATGCTGCAATCCCTCCTCTCAGGATTTTAGGCACTTATGCACACTTGCCAGGAGTGATTTTCAAGCTGGTGGATCCAGGACCTAGTCATGTGTAATCCAGGTGCCCTAAGCACCATGCCAACAGTTGGCCTGAGCATTTCTTTTCAGGGCACAGTCTTAGATGATGTTTCCCATGGAGAAGGTATCTGGAGCCACACGGGAAAAGGGATTGAGTGGTTCATCCTGTTGGCCCTGAACCTGTCAGGTCCCCCCATAGGCCTCTCCTCCCACAGTGTGAAGAGTCCCACTGTGGCATGAATTTCTAGGAAAGTGGGGGAGGTAAGCTGCTCTCAGGGGCTTCTGCCTAGATGACTCTCTTTGTATTTTTCTTCCTGAGGGTGATCCTTGAAATCTATGTGAGGCCCCTCAGGGAAGCCCATTGAGACCTGGTTCACTTGGGCAACCAGCTAGAATCTTCTGCTTGAACTTTTGAAGCCACTTAAGGCCAGAGTGGTGGCGGAAGTGAGTAACTGCAGCCAAGGTCCTCTGGGTGCATGAAGGAGGGGTCTGTGGTGGGCTCTGATGGCATATTTGGGTTTTCTGACAGCATATGTGTAAGTACTCTGATGGCGCTTCTTTGTGGTAGGGCATTGAAGTGGTATGTGTGGAGCCTCAGGTGAGGGCTTGTCTCCAGGCCCAGAGGGGCTACTGGATGATCTCTGATTAAGGTCTTAGTCTAGAGGGAGCCTTCACATTTCTCTGACATTGATCATTTCCTCTGGCTATACCACTGGACAGACTACTACACAGCTGAGAAACAGACTCACTATGGAGCGTAGGCTTCTAGAATTGAACATATGAAAATGAAGGTTGCTTAGAACTATCTTTTGACAGCTAAAAGAATTTGGCTTGTTGTTAGAGAGGGCATACCCCCTCTCTCTGCTATGGACACGATCCTCGTGGCCTCATGCCACTGCCTAGTAATAACCAGACCCTTGTTCCAAGGTAGCACACAGAACCAGGGCTGGTAGTGGTCTTGCTGGTGTTAAACTAATAAGCATGTTGATTGTTGACGAGAATGTTTAAGTCCTTCTTTGTTCCAGGAAAGAAGAAAATTTCTTCCCAGTGTCTGTTGAACTTCTAACACATCAAATATATAGGATTAGGCACCTAAAAATTCAGAGGTGAGGTTTAGTCTCCCATCAGGGAGTTCAGTTTTCCCAGACTGGCCTTTCCCAAGGAAAAACTGGATAAAGCTCAAGTCCAGTAGGGTTAAGGGATGCTCTGATGGGGAGGTGTCAAGGAAAGTCAGAGAGGGGAGTACTACCTTCCCATGAGTCTAGGACAGCCACCGTAACACTAAGAAGTAAGTGCTGAGATAGCTACAGCCTTAAAGATTTTGTTTAGAATTAATTTTTTTAAGTTTCAGTTTGAAGTCCTTACACTAATATATTTGTACCCAGTTGATATTATTGCTTATTTCTTTTTTTTCTTAAATTTTAATTTGTCAGAGCTGGAGAGAGACAGGGAGAGTGTAAGGTAGAAAGCAAGAAACACTCCCCGTGGGGAATGGTCATGCTGCAATCCCTTCTCCAACAGTTCCCCCTCCTTCAAGATTTTGGGCACATACATGTGTGCACTTGGCTTTTTTCTCAAGCTGCTGGGTTCTAGGACATGAACTGTGTAGTTGGCCATGTAGGATCTAGCGCTTTTTTGTTTTGTTTCATTTTTTTAGTTTTTGCTCAAAAGTGCATGTATTCGCTGGGAGAAGAGAGAGAGAAAAAGAGAGAGCGAGAGAGAGAGAGAGAGAGGGAGAAATCACTCCCCAGGTGGGTGGCCATGCTGCATTCCCTTCTCCTCCAGTCTTCAAGCTTAATTTTGGGCACACACATACACTTGGCATGATTTTCAAGCTGCCAGATCTGGGACTTGAACCCCATAGCCATCTATTTGGGATCCAGCAGTTTTAATCATTATGTCACAGGCTGGCCTACTATTTCCTTCTTAATCCAACAATTGCAGCTTGAATGAGATAATAGTTGTGTGTGGTATTTATTTATTTATTTATTTATCAGAAAAGTCCTTTTCAAAGAAAATGTTTTAAAAGCTTTCTAACTGACCAGCATTTCTCTATTGAATGAACAGTCAATAGCTGGACATACTAGTTAATAGGGTATTTCAAGGTTATATTTCTTTTCATGTGACTTAACTGGCTATGTGTCTCAGTCTCATCAGCTATAAAAAATGGAATGGATGGGGCCAGCAGAGGTGGTATGGTGGTTAAGGCGCTGTACTCCTACATGGCCTGCTGTGGTTTGAGTCCCGCACCTAGTGGCTTAAGAATCATGCATGTGTGCATGCATGCCCAAAATCCTGAGAGGAGAATAGAGGAAAAGAGAATGCAGTGTGGCCATCCCACTGCGGGGATGTTTTCTCATTTTCCCTTTCTCCATCTCTCTCCAGTGAGCACATGTGCCCTATGGCAAAAACCTTAAAAAAAAAAAGTGTGCACACACATACTTACCTAAGCTTACATATGTGTGCATGCATGTGCATTTGTAAAGGGCTTTGCACAGACCCGACACCAGAGTTCAGTGTGTGTTTGTTATTAGTATTAACTTGGAATACTTGGTATGTAACTCATAGATATGGTTGACTTTTGCTTCTCGCTGCTAGCTCAGGGAACTTTAAGAACAACACATAAAGGTAGTCTCAGCTTAAAATATTCCAAAAGTTGGTTTGTACAAGCAGTAAATCATTTTGCAGATAATTACTGAGCACCGTTCCTGTTCCAGAGGGTTCCATATTAGGGATAAGATCCTGTCCCTTGTTCTTACAAAGTTTCTTATCTTCCTCAGCAAGCAAATAGAATATACTGGTGTAGCATGTTCAGTGCTAGAATAGTGTAACTGGGACCTTCTGACTGT